TCAATGGACACTTAGGTTGCTTTTACGTCTTGGCTATTGGAAAGAATGCTGCAATGAACATGAGGGTGCAGATATCTTTCTACATTAATATTTTCATTTTCTTTTAGTAAATAGTCATAAGTGGAATTGTTGATTCACACTGTAGTTCTATTTTTAATTTTTTGAAGAGCCTCTATACTATGTTCTGTAGTGGCTGCACCAATTTGCATTCCCACCAACAGTACAATGCACAAGGGGTCCTTTTTCTCCACATCCTCGCCAACACTTAATTTCTCTTCGTTTTGATGATAGCCATTCTAACAGGTGTGAGATGATAGCTCATGGTGCGTCTAATTTGCATTTCCCTGATGATTAGTGATGTTGAGTATTTTTTCATGTACCTATAGTAATTAAATGATTTAAATTTCTCTCTTTGAAGTACTTTTGCTGCATCCCATAAGTTCTGGTAGGTTGTATTTTCATTTGACACTTTTTAATTTTATTTTTGATTCATTGGCTGTTCAGAAGAGTGTTGTAATTTCCATGTATATATAGGCATACCCTGGAGATATTGAAAGTTTAATTCTAGACCACTGCAATACAGCCAATATTGCAACAAAGCAAATCACATGGTTTTTGCAGCAGGGGGTTCTCAGTACATATAAAAGTTATGTTCGCAGTATACTATAGTCTATTTAGTGTGCAATAAATAGCATTATGTCTAAAAAATGTACATACCTTAATTGACAATACTTTTTTTTTTGCTAAAAAATGCTAACCATCATCTGAAACTTCAGTGATTCATACTCTTTTTGTGGGTAGAGGGTCTTTCTTTCCATTTGAAAATAATGCAATGTCTGTGAAGTGTAATGGGCAAAGCACAATAGAACTAGGTGTGCATTTATTGGTGACTTTTCCAATTTCCTTCCTGTTATTGATTTTTAGTTTTCTACCATTGTGATCAGAGCAGACACTTGGTATAATTTCAATCTTTTTAAATTTGTTAAAAATTGTTTTGTGACCTAGCAAATGGTCTGTCCTAGAAAATGTCCCACGTGCACTCGAATGTGTACACTGCTGTTGTCAAACGGAATATTGTGTATATGTCTATTTGGTCCATTTGGTTTATAGTGTTGCTCAAATTCTGTCTCTTATGGATTCTCTGTTTGAATGTATCTATCCATGATTGAGAGTGGGGGTATTCGAATTACAAGCTATCATTGTACTGTTGTTTAGTTCTCCTTTTATTTTATTTTTTTTTTTTTTAAAAATATTTATTTATTTATTTTATGGTACGTGCCCCTAGTGGGAACCGAACCTGGGACTCTCTGGTCTGCAGGCCGACGCTCAACCACTGAGCCAAACTGGCCAGGGCTAGTTCTCCTTTTAGTTCTGTTAGATTTTGCTTTATATATTTAGATGTCCTGACATTGGGTAAAAATATTTATAATTGTTATATTGTCTAGATGGCTTGAACCCTTTATTATGATGACCTTCTTTGTCTTGTTTTACCATTTTTGGTTTAATGTCTACATTGTCTGATATCAGTAATAGCTCCCTCTGCTTTGTTTGTTTGTTTGTTCTGGTGGCTATGTGCTGGAAATACCTCTTCCCGTCATCTCTCGCTCCTTCTCACTGTCTTTAGGCTGCAGTGAGTCTCTTGTAGGCAACATGATGTACTGGATCTTGTTTTTTATCCATTCAGCCGTCCTGTGTCTTTTTTATGTTCAATTTCTTTTTTGATACGTAAAACTTAGTATTACCCTTTTATTCATTGTTTTCTTGCTGGCTTGTGGGTCCCTTGTTCCTTGCTTTTTATTCTATTGTCTTTGTTGTTTTTATGTCTTTTGATATCAGCATGCTTTGACTTCTTTATCATATTCTTTTGTGTAATTCTTACAGGTTTTTTCTTGTGGTTACCATGAGGCTCACATGTAACATCTTAAAACATGAATACTTTATTTTAAACCAGTAACAACTTTGATGGCATTCCTAAATGTTCCAATTTTACATCTCTCCCTCACATTTTAGGTTACTGATGTTATAGTTCCCATTTTTTATATTGTGTATCCAATAACATATTATTGTAGGTATGGTCATTTTTACTACTTTTGTTTTTTAACTTTTACACTAGAGTTGTAAGTGAATTACGAACCACCATTGCTATATTACAGAATCTGACTTTAAAAAAAATCATTTTTTTCATTTTCCAGTTACAGTTAACATACAATATTATATTAGTTTCAGGTGTACATTCCAGTGATTAGACATTTACTTACTAAGTGATCATCTTGATGAATCTCGCACCCATCTGACACCACACATAGTTAAGAGAATATTATTGACTATATTCCTATACTGTACTTTACTTCTCCGTGACTATTCTGTAACTACCAATTTTTACTTCTCAATTCCTTCACCTTTTTCACCCAGTCCCCCAACCTCTCCATCCCATCTGGCAATCATCAAAATGTTCTCTATATTAATGAGTCTGTTTCTGTTTTCTTGTTCATATATTTTGTGTTTATTAGAGTCAAATGTTGATAGATATGTATTTATTGTCATTTTATTTTTCAGCTTTTTATATATATTTTTTCTTTTCTTCTTTTTTTCAAAGAACACCCTTTAACATTTCATGTATCCTGTTTTGGTGGTGATGAACTCTTTTAGCTTTTTCTTGCCTGGGAAGCTCTCTATCTGTCCTTCGATTCTAAGTAACTTTTCTGAGTAGAGTAATCTTGGTTGCAGGCAGAATCTAACTTTGTAAATATTAGTGAGTTTTCTGCTACCTTCTTGTTTTATTTATTTTATTTTCATTTCTTTATTGATTTTAGAGAGAGAGAAAGGGAGAGGGAGAGAGAGATAGAAACATCGATGAGAGAGAACATCAATTGGCCGCCTCCTGCATGCCCCCCACTGGGGATTTGGCCCATAACCTGGGCACGTGCCCTGACCAGGAATGAAACCGGTGACCTTTTGGTGCATGGGTTGACAGTCAACCAGTGAGCCACACTGGCTGGGCTACCTTCTTGTTTTGTATGATGTTAATTGGCACCTTTATACTTTGACTCACCCTGCCAAGTACCTTGGTCATGGCTCTGCAGATGAGCAAAGCTATTGGTTGGGACTACTCCTTGGACATGGCCTGTGGGAGCTCAGCCCCCAAAGATCTGAGTGCTGGTTGTTGTAAGCTCCTCCCCATCCTTCATCACAATCAAATACCTAGCGGTCAAGTTTTGCAGATTCTCCTGTAATTCCTGCGCAGTGAGACCTATGTAGGGGTTCTGAAGAAGCGACCCACAATTCTGGGGGAGCTGGATGTCCACACTGGGCTCTCTCTTCCCCCTGGAGGGCTGTAGCCCACCTCTTGGTGAGGTGCTGAGGCCAGCCTGAGGAAGGGGCAACCTGGTCATTGTGTAGCCGCCCCCCTTACCCTTCTAATGAGGTCTGTGTTGGTCTCCATGATGCAGTGGGGTGCTTCAGCTTCACCCTCCTGCCTCAGAATTCTCTCAGTGGTGTGTCATCCATGCATAGTTGTGTTCTGCTTGTGACGGGGAGCAAAGTCAGGAATGACCTATGTCACCATCTTGGTGACATCACTCCCAACACTTGAATTCTTACAAGGTCCCTCAGAAATTTCCCCCTATAACCTTCTTTGCCTTTCTCCCCCACAAATCTAAAAACATCTTAAGATATTCACATGTTCCTTCTATCCAAAACAGCGAAGGTGAATAAGTGCTCACTGTGCTGCAAAAAAGAAATGAAGGAAAAAGAAAAAGAAATGAAGAATGGGTGGGGGTGGGGGTGGGGGAGGAAGAGAAGGAGGAAAGAAGGAAGACAAGACTCGAATGACAGAAACATATCAGGAATTGTGATCGCCAGAGGCACTTGGAGTAGCAAAGGCAGAATTCCACAGGCGGAAAGTTTCTGGCCACGGAGCTGTCTTGGGTTCAGTCGATGTTCAGATCAGGTAGAAAGTGGCACTTAAGACAAGCTTCTTTCTCCTGACCGGTGCCTTGGGTAGTCCTCTACCTAGTTCTGAATGTTCACGGCCCACCCCACCCCGAGGAGGAGCCCACAATTCCTGCCCCTGCCCTGGCCACTCTCTTTGCCCCAAGGAGTAGGCGAGCAGCTACCGAGGGGTCCAGTCCAAGGATTTACTGGGTCATGATGCTTGAAGCTGGGCTTCGGGCATAGCAGGCAGAAGTTACAATGCTGAGTCGGGAGAGCATGTTGTTTCCTTGTAACTTTGTATTTTCTCTCTTGAGATGGTCCTTGGAAATTCCTCCCTGGGATCAGCATGAAACATTTCACAGACTCCTTGACCGATGATTAAAAAGAAAACTCGATCAATATTGCCCTCGTTCCAATCAAGTGCATCTCCTTAGTTTAGGCCCTGCTAGGGTAAGCATTTCACTCCCAGGAACGTCAGATCAGAACTATTAAAGACATGGAACTAAGAAACGCCTGAAGTCCCAGCTTGCCCAGAGCCACTCTGACTGTTCCCACCTACAGGATGAAACTCAGTCAGCTGAACCCCCAGCTAAGAGGAGGCCATGGTGGTAACAGGGGCACGGGCCTCTCTCCTAGTGGCCCAGGAAAAGTGATAACACGGTTCAAGGGCAGGTTCTACAATCCCTGGAAGAAGAGTAACTAACATCTGCATTGCTTAGAAACATACCTTTTCCTCCCCGAGACAGCCCCTGACCTAGGATTAGCAGAGCACACAGTAGGCAGGATAATCAAAGCATTGTCTCACTGGTCATATTTCGTATTTCCTCCGCGTATGTCAATGGCATTTTCTAAGCTCCTTCTAATTAGTTGCCTGGTTTACTCTAAGAAGGTAGCATGGAAGCGAAATGGAAAGGGTGAGTTAGGAAGAAAATGTCATCTCTCTGCAGGGTTCAGGGATTTCTTAGTAGTGTTTGGGAGTGATAGACTGTTCTTTAAAGATTCCACTCTGCTATGGCTCCGCTTAGTCTATGAGAAGGAAATACGACAGAATTTCAGAAGACCCAGCTGAAAATATTCCATGTGCATAAATTTATTTTAAATTTTATTGCATCACATTATACAAGCATTAAACATGGCTTCATGTTGATGACTATTTAAATGTGAAAATTCATCATTCATGTCAGTACCTGTTGGCTATTTACAAGTAAGGAATTATGTACTTTATATATCTCTGTACTTGTATGTACATATGTAAGAATACATGACTATACATATGTACACACAGAAATACATCTATGGCCATACACATAGCTATAGATATGTCATATATAATAATCTCCTCAGAAACATCTGAAATTAAAAAAAAAGAAAAGAAAGAAAAAGTTGTAAACAGGGTCTTGTTTGTGTTGTTTGGGTGACATGGAATCAGGACCATATGAAGACATTCTAGGAATGTGTGTCCAGGTGTCCGGATACCCTTTTTAGCCCAGTGTCTGTAAAATTCCCACGGGATAGAATGCAAAAAAGGTAGCAAACAGGCTGAAAAACAGGCCCAGTATACAAGTTCCCCTTGGTTTTAAAAACTCGAGAATGTAACTGCCCATGACGTGCATGCTTGCTTGGTCGAGAATGGTCTATGGGTAGATAGCAGTTGTGTGCGGGCGGCATGGTGACTCCCCCGCGTCCTCGGCGGGTGCTGACTCCCGGGCTGCCGATGTCTGCGACATGCACTGCGGTTGCGTTTCAGTCATTCGCTGGAGTGTGCTTTTGCACAGCCAGGAGAAGTAAACAGAAGTCAGGTCTTTGGCCTGGAAATGAACCATTGCCTGGAAACAGAGAAGGAGGCATTAGAACCGTAGGTACACGTGCTGGCGTAAGAACACAAGGCTCGGTGGTCTGTGCTCACAGGAATCAAAGGCATTCAGGCCCCAGACTGACTCAGGCAAGGCATAATGTTACTGCGCCTGCTTCACAGAGGAACACACTGTCAGTCTGAAGCAAGGGGACATTTTACCAACTACTGGGGGAGAGAGAGACAAACACTATGCTTTTAAGAACAACTTAGAGCCCTGGCCGGTTTGGCTCAGCGGTTAGAGCGTCGGCCTGCGGTCCAGAGAGACCCGGGTTCGGTTCCCGTGGGGGTGCATGCCTCGGTTGCAGTTTGTCCCCGGCCCTGGTTGGGCCCTGGTTGGTCGTGTGGGTGGCAGCCACTCGATGTGTCCCTTTCACATCAATGTTTCTCTCTCCCTCTCTCCCTCCCATTCTATCTGAACAAAAAATGTCCTTGGGAAATGAAAAAAAAAAAAAGAGAACAACTTAGAAATGGTCTTGTTAGGGAGGCAGCAGCCCCTAACAACGAGGCCAGAAGAAACTCCCAACTGGCTACTGGCCCTGCAGCCCAGCGTGGCCCTGGGGCCACTGCTGGGCCAAGGTCTCTGGCCCCTGGACTCCCAGGAGCAATTCTCCTCACTAATAACCGTCTCCCTCCTCAACCATAACCCTGTCCGGATAGTCAGCCTTTCTCCTCTGAGGCTGACCACAGCCACAGAAGAGGTGATCAGAATGGGTGTGGGGGCCAGGGGCTTGGGGCAAACTATAGAAGCTCAAAGAGTAAAGCAGAATAGGCTCCTAAAGTATTGTTCAGTCCAACTTCTTTACTTTTGCAAATGAGGAAACCGATGTACTTCGGAGCCACCCCAGGTGATACAGACAGAGAGTGGAAAAGCAGGTCTAGGACCCAGTGGGCTACAACATAATGCTCAACAACAATAACAACTCAAAGTCTCACGTACAACCTATTTGAGCTTAGTTCTGGCCAATACGTTTGCAGGCTCAGAAAAACTAAGTATTTTTTCTGAAGTCACATAGCTGAATGGCAAATCTGGGAAATGGTGAAATTACTAAGTAGCAAAACATTTCTTGCCTTTAGAGAAGCCAAGGTCTACTTTGGAAGTGAAGGCAGGGCCAATGTTCAACCTCTGTGTACCACTGTTATCCCTGTGTGCTTGGGGCCTAGATGCTGTCCTCCAAGTCCACCCCCACATCCAACTTATAATAACCTCTGGACTCTTATCCCAGATCTGGCTTGATACAACTTCACCAATTTACCAGCAAACATCTCTGCAGATACCTGGCACATCTGAACTCACATGAAAAGTGAAAAACATACTTTACCCCCTATATGTCTTATTTTTCTTTTAGAGGCCAAATTTTGGAAAAGCTTTCAAGGTTAGTCTTCAAACAAGTGGAGAGAGAGAAATGAAGGGCAAGGAAGGCAAAAGAAATGCTACAATATTATATTCACAGAGTATCAAAACTCACAGCTTATCTACTCATTCCATCACTAGGAAACAGGCTCAGAGAAGTTAAGTGACACACAGCTAGTAATCGACTTCCAGAGAGAAGGTTTCAGGAGAACTTTTTGATAAAATATGTGGGAACATTATGGACCTTTCTTACCATGTTTTTAGCTCTAATCCATCCAACCTTTACTAGTTCAATGTGCACTTAAATGGGTGCCACATGCTTAACACTTTACTATCTAGTTGCAAGAATAAAATTACCATCCAGCAAGTCTTTCCTAAGGTGCTTACAACTGTGCTGGGGAAGCCTTATAACTATTTGAGAAATCATAAATTATCAATACAGATTAATATGTGCCAGTACCTGTGGTACTGACGCATTAACCAGAGAAAGTTTATAAGGAGTGAGTCTCATGGGCTGATGAGTCTGGGGAAAACTTCTTAGAGGATATGGCATGACCTGGACCAGCCTGGGAGGAAGCCATAGATGGGTAGTGGAGAGAAGGCCGTTGTGACTTTAACTGGAGAGGAGGGGCACGTTGCCCTGGAGATCTTAAGGAGAATAGCCAGGCTGGAGTAGAAGGGAAAAGAAGGCTGATTTCAGGGAACACCTAGGCCAACTCATGAACACTGACTGACAGGCCAGAGTGTGGCATGGAGGCAGGGAGGAGTTGCAGGTCTTGTATGTAAAGGGAATATCAAGTTAAATTTGCAATTAAGGTAGGAAACGAGCTGGTTTTGGAATCTTTTAGGGAGTTAATTTGATCTCTATCAGCAGAACAGCAGCAAGCTTTGATTCAGGGAGTTGAAAGCTCCCCCTCCCAACCAACAAGAGGTTTTAGACCGTGAGCACACGTCTCACCCACCTCGTCACGGCCACTCATTGTGGTGCGCTTTGCCATTTTTCTTCCTCTCCTTTCGTTCCTTCTGGAGGCGCTCCAGTTCCGCCTCATACATCATCTCCTGGATCAAGTACTTCTCTCTTCTCATTCGATCCCTTAGATCTTTTGGGAGGTCTGGGATCAGATATGAAATGAGGTGCTTTATACAAAACACGAGGTGCTAAAAACACAGAGGAGAATGCAATAGAGTCAGGTCTACCATCCACTCTTAGCTGGAAAGAGCTCTGGGAGTTGGTTCACTCCAGGGACATGGAGCCTCTAAGTATCTGGAGCATGGGATGAGGCCAGGGGAGGTATGTGTGAGGAAAGATCTCCGGGATAGATGAGGACTGAACATAGTCTGATGGCACCATGTAGGGAATGGGAAGAGGAGTTGGAAAAAGAGGTGGACTGGGAATGGTCCAAGAACCAAAGGACAGCCAGAAGAAAGTATAGTGTGGAATCAGAAAACCCAGGTTTGAATGCCAGCTCTGTAGCTTTTACTCCATAAGAGCTGTCTATCTACTTGAGGGTAAGTCACTCTGAGCCTCCATTTTCTTATCTATAATATGGGTATTGTGTAAATTATAAGAATATGTTTTTATTTTTAAATCATTTTTATTTTTCAATTATGGTTGACATACATTATATTAGTTTTAGGTGTACACCCCAGTGATTATACATAATATAACTAAGTGATCATCTTGGTACATCTTGCATCCATCTGACACCAGATATAGTTATTAGAATACTATTGGCTATATTTCCTATGCTGTATCTTACATCCCCATGGCTATTCTGTAACAACCAGTTTGTACTTCTTAACACCTTCACCTTTTTCACCCATCTTCCCAGCTCCCCTCCCATCTGGAAATTGTCAAATGTTCTCTGTAGCTATGAGTCTGCTTTTGTTCTGTTTGTTTATTTATTCATTGCCATTTTAATGTTCATATTTTTTATTTTTTCCCTTCTTCTTAAGAAAGACCCTTTAACATTTCACGTAACACTGGCTTAGTGGTGATGAATTCATTTAGCTTTTTCTTGTCTGGGAAGTTCTTTATATGTTTTCTTATTCTAAATGATAGCTTTGCTGGGTAGAATAATCTTGGTTATAGGTCCTTGCTTTTCATCACTTTGAATATTTCTTGCCTATATCTTTTTTTTTAATTTGCCAAACTTTTTTTCTTCAATTTTTATTAATTTATATTTGTTACAGATGTTTCTCCTCCCCGCCCCCAGACCCCCTCCTCCCCATGTTACCCCACCTCCCCCAACCAAGACATCTCATAATTAAAATGCAAAGGGTTAAAGACAAAGAGAGAATCTTAAAAGCAGCAAAAGAAAAGAAGTTAGTTACCTACAAGGGAGCTCCCATAAGATTTTCAGCTGATTTCTCAACAAAAAAATCCTCACTGATCAAGTTTTTTGTTGAGAAATCAGCTGAAAATCTTATGGGGGCTCTCTTGTAGGTAACAAACTTCTTTTCTTTTGCTGCTTTTAAGAGTCTCTTTGTCTTTAACCTTTTGCATTTTACTTATGAGGTGTCTTGGTGTGGGTTTCTTTGGGACATCTTGCTTCCTGGACTTGTATGTCTGCTTCCTTCACCAAGTTAGGGAAATTTTCTGTCATCATTTTTTCAAATAGGTTTGCAATTTCTTGCTCGCTCTCTTCTCCTTCGGACACCCCCATGATGCAAATGGTGGTATGTCTGAAGTTGTCCCAGAGGCTCCTTACACTATCCTTATATATTTTTGAATTCTTTTTTCTTTTTGCTGTTTTGATACAGTAAGCATTCTTAATTTTACTTAAAACTTTGTAAACTTGGTGACTCACAGATGGCTTATGATCTTGCCAATTAAAAGGACTTTCTGTATATTTATAGTATTTTAAAATAGTTTAATTACAATATATTGAAAAGGAGTGAAAAGTTATAATTGATAAGCCAAATTGTAACTTAAAGCAAGACCGTTTTTATTTTGTCTGAAAAATTTTAAGACAGTGATGGGTTAACATTTCTTTAAAGAGGGATTGAGCCATTGATAAGCTAATTCCCAGGAAGGAGCAGCTTAATATTGTCTTTTCTTGATTCCCTCGAGTGAAGGAAAAAAAACAACAGTGATGCAATAGTTTCAAAGAGGTATAGAAAGCGTCTAGTCTAAGCCAAAAGGCAGCCTTGGCTTCTGTTAATTTGGCTTTACTATATGTGACAGGAGATGAAATTTCTATTTATGAGTATAGTTATGGAAATGCAAACTATTTTTAGTAGCAATTTTCTTAAATACTAAAAGAAAATAGGTAATAAATTTTTATTAACACGATACATACAATTACTAGGTAGATTATACTTTGTGAGTATAATTATACTTTTGGAGTCTATTTTGAGTCTTAGGTAATGAATACTTATTTGTGTGCTTGAACATAAGTAATGCCATGATGCTACACAACCAGGGGCTACCACTTGTAATACCCAGTTCAATGCTTTCCAAACTATGGTCTTTGAACACCTGCATCAAGTTCATCTTGGATGGCGGTGTAAAGCAAACTGCAGATATGATGTATTAGTATCTCTGTGAATGAGGATTTAAACAATACAATTATCCCAACGTTTAAGACCCATGGCCCTAGAATATTAAATTTAGGACCAATAATTCCTGACTTACCCATTAACAATCTACAATGTACTTTCAAATATTTCTTGGAAAATTCAAGGACCTTGATTAAGGAGAATAAAAAGAAGATGAAGAATTCATATAATATTACTATATTGCTTCTGGACATACATAATCACATTGAAAGTTCTCATAACATATTTATTCATTATTTTTACTTACTATACTATGGCAAAGGATATAAAGAAACAGTTGAGAAAACTTACCTCAAACACAATGATGAAAGCCAGTCGAGCTGCTAGCACGTGCCAGAACTGCAGTGTGTAGCTGTAGGGCACCAGTGAATGAGGAGGGTCACGGTAGTCTCGGTACCTATAAACATACAGGAGAAGGTCACATTTCAAACTGTGATTTTCCTGACTCCCAGATCTCTCTCATACCCACTGTGTAGGCCTTATTCATGGGAGAAAAATTTTAAAAACTTTTGTACCCTAGACATCTGTTGTTTTGCTTCTCTAGCATTTCTTCTTCTGATAAAAGAATATCTCTTCTTCTCTGGGGAATCTTCTATGTAGGTTGGGCAGGGATCACCCCCACTCCTGACCCCAGCTCAGAAGATGAAGCAAATATGATCAATAAGATTCATCACAAGGACTTCTGCTAGAATGATCATTACTGAATTATCACCAAGCCCATAGAAGGTAAAAGCCTGGAGCGGCTGGTGGCCATTACAAACTGGAGATAGCTTGCTTGAGAATGAAGTCAATAGAAAAAAGTAGAGCTAGGAGAGAGGCTGTATCTTGATGAGTGGAGGCTTGGGGTCCAGCCATTACTAATGCTAATATCACCCCGCCAACCTCCCAGTACCTGAACAAACAAATTTCTTTCTAAGTCAGTTTATACTGAATTTCTGCCACTTGTCATTAAAGAGTCCTTCCTAATGTATGCTCCAATTAACTTTTGAGTCAGCATCAAATTCCACAAATGTATGTTGAGCATCTCTTAGGGGCCAACACTATCCTAGGAACTTGCATCATATGATTTCCTTTTGTCCTTACCATACCATTCCTGTTTTCACAGGTGGGAAAACTGAAAAGCATCTCTCCACATCACACAGTGTTTATGTGATTTGATTCCAGTGTTCTTTTCAGTAGCTCTAGATATGTGAAAATATCTGGAAATACTGGTTATTCCAATAGTTCTGCTGTGGGATATATCAAATTCCCTGAATAAAAATTATAATTATTCAGGTTTTTATATAATACTTAACCTCAAGGTCAGCACTATGCACAGGAGGATAGAAGATAATTCCTATGAAGAGTATAGGAATTAGCAAAAGTACCAAAGACTAGAAAAATATGAGCTGTCACTATTATTATCATCAAAATCATCTTAAGTATTATTAGTGTGTATGGAATGTAGTAATAATGTGTCATGATTATTTCGTCGGTAAAGTGATATTCATGATGAGTACCTGGTCTGAAATAAAGAATGCATCTGTTAGTGCGTTCTGTTGTTTTTTTTCTATGATGAGGAGGATTAGGTAATTGTTTAAAACACTGTTTTTTGCCCTGACCAGTTTGGCTGAGTGGTTAGAATGTCGGCCTGCAGACCACAGAGTCACAGGTTCAATTCAGGCCAAGGGCACGTACCTTGGTTGTGGCCCAGGTCAGGGTCGTGTGGGAGGCAACCAACAGATGTGTCTCTCTCAGATCAATGTTTCTCTCTCTCTCTCTATCTCTCTCTCCTTCCCTCCTTCCTGCCCTCCCTCCTACTCTATCTGAAGATAGATGGGAAAATATCCTCGGGTGAGGATTAAAAAACAAACAAAAAACATTGTTCTCTCTAACATGTAGTTATACAGTTTGTTCCTGTCACAAGTCCCGTAATAATGCCTGGAATTTTAGGAAGAACATTTTATTCAGCATGAAAAGTTTGCTTGGACGATTCTAACCTCCTTTGACTTTTTGCATAGAACAGCTAGTCAAGAACCAGGTACTGTTTTCTACAATTAAATATATTACAAATAGCCTGGCCAGTATGGCTCAGTGGATTGAGCATCATCCCATGGACTGAGAGAGGTCCCGGTTCGATTCCTGGTCAGGGCATCAGCCTGGGTTTTGGGCTTGATCCCCAGTAGGGGGCATGTGGGAGGCAGCTGAGTGATGTTTCTTTCTCACATGGATGTTTCTCTCTCTCCCTTCCTCTCTCTCTAAAAATAAATCAATAAAAACATATTAAAAAATATATATATAACAAATATAGTTCCTTTGTTCATCTTTAGTTGTATATATTTCAAATATGGTTCAAGTAAATATTCTAGAAGAAAAATATTACACATATGGTGATTATTAGACAAAAGTATTATATAAGAGGAGGGAGCCTGCATTCTTTCAAGACTTATTTTCACTGACTCCTTAAACTTTTTACACAATGCTGTTCACGAATACAGGAAATTCTTTTCAGGACCCACTATACTTTCCCCCTTCTCTCTCTTCTCTGCCCCCATCTTTCACCCTTTGTTATGACTTCCATCTCCTAGCTTCTCAGACCCTGTTCGGCTTTTCACTTGAAGAATTCTGACAAATCTCTTCCTCCTCAGACCCCTCCTAAACTCACTGGGTGGGAAATCATGATTTTTCCTTGACTTGCGGACCATTTTCCTTGACTATTTCCAGAAAATACAATTCTGGTGTGTCATTCTTAAAGTTCTTAAAATTCCTGTTACAAATTCATAGCAAATAAATTCATTTATTCAGCATGGCCCAGTACATTAGAATCTATAAAATTAAACAGCTATTAAATAGAAGGATGAAATCGAGGAAGTCTTTATTGGTAAAACGGCAGACACGTAATATGTAAAGTAAAAACAGTTGCTTTTAGGTGGTGATTTTACATTTTAATTTGTGGGTTTTTAATATTTAAAAAATTAATTGTTCTTTACATTTTCGTTTTAATATTAGAAAACATTTATACCCACCACTGCGGTGATCTGGCAAAATTTTAGATAATTTCTAGGGAAGGATCCAGCTGTTGAGAACATGCATCTTTTTGTCCAGCCTAAGTGTAGTCTGTGTCCACTGGTGGATCCGTCACGAGACTCTAACCTGAGCCCCGAGGAACACAATGCGCCTGCATTGGCACTTAGGGTCTGAGGACAAAACTCAGAAGCTGTGACATTCTTAGGAGGGTTCAGTCTTCAGAAGCAGCAGGTTTCTAGCTCCCCTGCCCTCTTTTTTTTTTTTATGAATTTTTATTTATTTTTTTGTTACAGATATTTTACCTTTTTACCCCATTGGCACCCCCCCCCCCTCTACCCTGTCCCCGGCTTAGTTGTCCATGTCCATTGGTCATGCATACATGCATATAAGTTCTGTGGTTTATCTCTTCCCACCCCGCCACCCCCCCCACCCCCTCATCTGAGGGATGTCAGTCTGTGCCCTACTTCCATGTTTCTGGGTCTACTGTATTCCTCAGACTGTTATGTTCATTATATTCTGTATATAAGTGAGATCATGTGGTATTTGTCTTTCTCTGTTTGGCTTCTTTCACTTAGGATAATACTTTCCAGGTCCCTCCATGTCGTCTCAAAGGATAAGAGAACTTTCTTTCTTACCGCTGCATAGTACTCCATTGTGTATATGTACCACAGCTTTTTGATCCATTCGTCTACTGGTGGACACTTGGGCTGTTTCCAGATCTTAGCTATTGTAAATAGTGCTGCTATGAACATGGGGGTACATATATTCTTCCTGATTGGTGTTTCAGGCTTCTTAGGGTATATTCCCAGCAGTGGGATCACTGGGTCAAATGGAAGTTCAATTTTTAATTTTTTGAGGTAGCACCAAATTCCCCTGCCCTCTTAAGGTGTCGTACCATAGTGTCAAGTTTCTCTCTCAAACACTTCTTAGTGCTACCCTAAGTTAGGAATGAAAACTCAGCGGTGCCAAAGCGCTGGCTGCCATCCGACTTGCTGCCCGAAGCTGTCTCCAGAATGATGCACAGGAAAGCATATGGCACCACGTTTGGGGTTTGCCTGACTAATAGGATCTTGGGTAATTCATGAAGCTTCTCTGGGCATCAGTTTTCCCTTTCAACAAAGTTAGGGTCTCCATCTCACCCTGCTCCAAAATTTTGGATTCCCACCATTGAATGAGTTTTCTCCTTGTTGCAAATGGACCTCTCAGTTCGTGTTCCAGCCCACCCACGACGCCACTGGCCTTTTCCACGAGGCAGAGGTCTGAGGGAGGCCATGCTCGGGTGTCCTTAGTGCCCAGGTCTCTGTGTCTGATGCAGTGCTATTTCTTTGCATAATGACGGGCTACACATTCCCTGGCACTTGTACAAAGAAAGCACTTCCCTGTCCTGCTATGGAAACAGTCAGGAAGCCAAGCTTCAAAGCTAATTAAATCAAAGTGTTACTCTTCTAATTTTTCAGTGTAGTACCTTCAAAGACGTTGAGTATTCCAGTGGCATTCATGTTTGGAGGAATGTTTTCCAGTGAGTCAGAGTTATTTTTAAAAAGTAACACTTTCAATTTCTTGGAATCAATTTCACATGCAGGAAAGGTGGGCTGTTCCCTTTCGACGTAAGTTAGTGCATTCTCTGAAGCTGCTTTTATTTCTCAAGAAATGGATGATCAGCTTGCAAAACATTATTTTTCTAGCACTGGGTATAGTTAATTTATTCCCATTTTTTAAACTGTGGATTAAAGTGTATGTACATTTGAGAGAATAAGTGAATCTCGTGCAACCTCCATCCAAGTTAAGACCAAGGATGTGGTCAGTGGCTTGGAAATGCCTCACTGGCAACCCCTAAAGGTAACTAGAGTAATTTTCTGCTTCTCTTTATAGTTATACTACTTATGAAAGTGTCCCTCAATAAAATAGTTCTTTCTTTTGTCTGCTTTGAACTCTATATAGATGGAATCGTATTGTTATTTGTAATTACATGTTTATTATGCAATTTATTTTTGAGTTCTCAATTCTATTCCATTTTCTATTGATCTGTTCCCTCTGACAACACCATGCTGATTAATTACTATTTTATACTATGTCTAACATAAGGTAACTCTTCATCTCATTAATATTCTTCAATCATGTCTTGACTATTCTTCATCCTTTGCAGTACTGTATAATATTTAAAAAAATTTATCTTTATTGTTGAAAGTATTATAGATATCTCTTCTCCCCCACCATTGGCTCCCTGCTCCCCACTCCCACCCCTTCACCGCTCTGTTGTCTGTGTCCATTGATTATGCACGTATACATATAAGTTCTTTGGTTTATCTTTTCCTGTGCCCCCTCGCCTCTTCCCTCTGAGATTTGTCAGTCTGTTCCCTACTTCCATGTCTCTGGATCTATTTTGTTCAT